TACGTTAACTTTAACTTTATTAGTAACTAACCACTACTACTAAGTAGTATTAATATATATATATATATATATATATATATATATATATATATATATATTTACTACTATTTTACCTCATTTTGATACGTTTTACGTAATCTTACTTTAAACACACAGATTTTTTTGATGGGCACTACTCGGGCCAAGTATTCGGCTCAAGCATGAGCCAAATAGTCGACCGTAGTAGTGATGTCCAAACCCGGACATGAGCAAGTTAGGAAATGCTGCTCCCGGGCCATCTCTGCCCAATTTGTCTCCCTTCGTACCTAAGCTTTCTGAATGTAACATCAATTCAAGGGGTAAAATAAATGTCCAGGGCCTGCTTTTCTGAATGTAACATCAATTCAAGGGGTAAATAAAGGTCCTGGGCCTTCCTGCCAATCCGCCCGTCGTACGCCGTGGTATTTAAACTGTATTACACAGTGGACGTGTGTTCTTTTGGCACGGGACATGGTGCGGTTTGTATAGAGCCCATGCTCTAAAGTAAAGCACATTTTTAAATAGTGTCAAGAAATGTGGTTTTAATTCAAGAAATCTTTCTCATAGCCCTAAAATATGTTTTTATCTTTAATTATAAAATTTTAAGCTTCAAATAAAGTGTAGATCGAGCAGATCAATGAAAACTTAAAAATATTGAAAATTGATGGTCCAAACCTGTATTACAAGTTGCACTATTTCTAAAACTTGAAATCCATTTTTTGTTTATGTTTATGCTTCTTGATATCGAGATGATCAATTTGAAGATATTTGGGCATCAAAACAACCTCTTGTAGTGGAATATTTGATGTGGGCTCTAATTTGATTGTTTAGAGTCTCAAATCTATATAAACTTTTTTTAAATTGAAATGGCAACCCACATTTTCAAGGAAGTAATTCACAGAGTCCTAACTCGGCTGAGTTTAACAATCAACACAGGGCCAAGAGGCCCTAAAATAATAATAATAAAATTTCGAAAAATAAAACTAAAGTTTACAAATAAATTCAAATTTAAAACATCTTTAAAAAGCTAAAACAAGGTTAAAAAAGTATAAAAAAAATATGGATTAAAAAAAATGTGTGCAATGAGTCTATTTACTTTTTCTTACAAGAAGGTCACAAACAGAGCTTTAGATTTAAAATCGGGTGGTTGATAAAGTATCATTGTTTAAACAAGATGACCAAAATTAAATTTCTCGAATGTTGTGACAACTTCCATTTATTGGATTTCACATCGCATGACTAAAAGTAATTGTGACTTCTTTGGTCCAAAAATAAAAGGCCTCGTAATATACAATCCTTTTAAAAAACTAACTTAAGAATTTGGGTTATTATTTAAAGGGTGTGGTTTCTATAAGGTTGCAACTTTAAAGAATCCAATTACGGCGCACCTCCAAATTTTATCACAACATATAATTTTGGTGTACAAAATTATTAGGATTGTCTCAAAATCTATTTTCAAATCTCACTATAAAATTTTAAAATCTAAAAATAGTTAAAATTAAGCAGACCTATAAACATATAAAAATCTTGAAAATAAACGGTCTAGATAATGTGTTGCAAGATGCACTATTTTTGAGATGTAAAATCTTTTTTTTTTTTTTCAAATTCACATATCTCGATATCGAAGTGATTAATTAGACATTAAAATAACTTTTTCTGATGGATTTTTGAGGTGCATCTGTCATTCTACATTTGAAAGTTACAACATTATATAACTTTTTTCCTTATTTAAAAATCCGAAAAAAAATATAAAAATGTGAGAGGGCAAAAAAGACATACAATCTTAACCAAATGCATCCAAATCATATGAGAAATGAAAACCAAAAGTAAATAGTATAAAAATATTTCTCCTGTGAAGATTGGTTCTTTGATTGTTTGGAGTCTCCGCTGTATCCAAACCGCACCTTTTTTTAAAATAGACAAGGCAACTTGGCCTAGCCCATAGAGGGGATGAGTGGACACGGCCCCATAGAGGGATTCGAAAATTTTTCTCTAACCATCAAATCAAGATTGAATAAAATAAAAATTAAAATTTCCTGCATCCATGCAACTGATATAGAGATATAGACTCACCTAGATTAAAATCTATGGCATCGATGTAAGTGATATGCCTAATGTGCCCCTTCTCAGAATTAGGGGACCTGCAACAATCAGCTAGCAAATAGGAAGAAATGAGTGTGATTACTGCAAAACCCAGGATTGCCAAAGGCCCTGCAATCCAACCCAGCTGTGCTACGCACCATGCTAGAGACAGAACCCCTGAACCAACCACTGCAGTGATTATATGAGCAGTTGCAGTCCATGCATCCCCTGGAGAGACAAAGAGACCGCATTAAATCCAACCCTAACATACATCTCCATTTGAATAAAGAAATCAACAGAGAGAGAAGGGAACCAGCATACAACTTGAACTGTCAAATGATTGAATTAATGTCTCCGGAGAGGAGGTAATGGAGAAGAACTGTGAATTGGCTTTTGGGTTTCACCTGTTCTCTTGCACCGTACTTGGGCATCAGCGATAAGAGGTTCCTGTTTGTCTGTCATCTCCATTCCCACAGGAAGAGAGAAAGAGAGATTGGGGGGTAGTGGATTTTGGGTATATTTCCTCTGACAGCTTATCAGACAATTGGGAAGCGTTGTCCATGTAATTATGGACACAGTTTTAATGTCTCAGCCAGCCGATTCAATTATTTACCTACGTCTATCTAAAATTGATTAGATCCAAAAAATTTGGTGGGTTGATAATCTCAATCGTCATCAATACGAAATTAAGAATAAATGATAAAAATTGCATAGTATTTTTTATAGTAGTTTTCAACCGTTTATTTTAGTAGAGTTGGCAAAAGGTGGGGCCATTCATGGCACTGGTTCGAGTGCCCCGGCCCTGCCCACAGAAGGTGCTGGGTCGGGCTGTCCATGGCCTAGGCCTGGCCCATATGGCATGTTCCTACGGAACGTATTGTACAACAACTCCTTTGGGTAAAATAACTACTTTGGGGAGTTTTCCTTTTCGAAATTTGGGATATACTTGGATGATTATTTTCAAGGAAAAATAGTTTAATTTTGAATTTTTTGAACATCTAGATCTTTTCCTCCAAATATTGGACAGACTTTGTGCAATCTTAAGATGTCATTTTTTAAGCACATAAGTTAAACCTTTTTTTTTTCTTCGAGGCTGGTTGTGTTCTATTGACTATGTGTCAAAATTCAGGATCTAAAAAATATTTGTAGCATGAGTTTTCTTAGAGAGAGTTGATGTATAAAATACTCCCACGAGAGTATGAAAATTTTTGGCTTAAAATAGTAGTATAGAAACTTATTCTTCTAAAACACACACAAAATATCATTCACATGTGACGAAAATTTTAATATATTAACGTGAAAGCCTAAAAATAATGGGTGCGGTTCCTATAAGGTTGCAACTTTAAAAAATCCAATTAAGGCGTATCTTAAAATTTTATCATAATATGCAATTTTATTATAAAAAATTCTTAGTATTATCTTAAAATCTATTTTCATATCTAATTAGAAAATTTTTAAATCTAAAAATGGTTAAAATCAAGTAGATCTATAAATATATGAAGATATTGGAAATGGATAGTGTAGATAATGTGATGCAAGATGCACTATTTTCGGGACTCAAAAACTTTTTTTTTTTATAGACATACATCTCGATGTCGAGATGATCGATTAGAGGGTTTTTTCAATATTAAAACAGCATTTTCGATAGATTTTTGAGATGCATAAATGATTCTACATTTTATGGTAGCAACCTTATTAAAACTTTTCCCAAAAATAATTGGCCATATTGCGTTATAAAAGTATTTATGAGGATAAGATAATATGATGTAGGAGTTTTTAGCATTCCATTTTCTTAGTATTGCCTTGTAGCACGGTACGGAAGCACGTTTCCCACGGGAATTTAAATATATTAACGTCAAAGCCTAAAAATAATGGAAAAAGTTTTTACAAGGCTGCAACCTTAGAACTACGGATGCCCTTTAAAAATCCATCGGAAAATGTATTTTTAATGTTGAAAAAACACTTTGATTGATCATCTCGACATCTAAGATATATGAAGATGAAAAATAAAAAGGTTTTAAGTCTAAAAAATAATGCATTTTACAACATATTTTCTACACCATCCATTTTCAACATTTTTATATGTTTATAGATCTACTTGATTTTAATCATTTTTGAAATTTAAAATTTTATAATTAGATATAAAAATAGATTTTGAGATAATCCTAAAAACATTTTACATTAAAATTATATATCATGATAAAAGTTGAAGGTGACCACAAGGGGAATGAGATGGTTGGATGGTTTGGAAGAATTAAATGGTTCGCTGAACTTCTTCATTATCATTCTTGTATGCAACATATTACGATCTGTACGAATTGTATGGTGCATGTTGGAAGATCTGTATGAATTGTATGGTGCATGTTGGAAGTTCATCTACCATCCATTCCCAACATACATGGCTGAGGTGAATTGAAGAACAGATGCCCTTTATGTGGATCATTTTGTAGTTTTTGGCTAGTGGCCGTTATGGAAAAAGAACGAGGTTTATATAAGTTCCCAACAATGTCAGAAAGTTTAAGATCGCCTAAAAATATATTTTCAACATTGAATATGAAATTTTTAAACCTTAAATATGATGCTAATCGAATAAATCTATAAACACTTGAAATTTTAAAAAATTAACGGTCCAAATACTATGTTACAAGAATCACTATTTTTAATGCTTGAAATCCTTTCTTTTATTCATAAATCTACATCTCGATGACCATAGGAGGATTTTCTAGCATCATTTTGATGGTTTTTGTGATGCGCATTACTTTTACAACATAAGGTTGATACCTTATATAAACATTTTGCAAAGATTATATATACCAACAGTATAAAGGCCAAATAAACGACTTTGAAAAGTAGAAATCCACAGGACCTGAAACTTTACACATTTATAGATCCGCGTTGAGTCTATATCTCTTTATTTTGGTTATAGACAAATTAACTAGCCGTCTATAAGAGGTACCGAGTTATATGTTTTTTCACAAATGACACGGTTTTTATTGATGAGACTAGAGATGACATCAACACAAAGTTATAGCTTGGGGGAGATGCTTTGGAATCTAAAGGTTTTAAAATTGGGTGTGGTTTCTCTAAGGTTGCAACCTTAAACAATCCAATTGAGACGCACCTCCAAATTTTATCATAAGAAGTAATTTTGTTGTAAATTTTTTTTAGGATTATCTTAAAATCTATTTTCATATCTAATTAAAAAATTTTAAACTCGAAAAATGGTTAAATCAAGGAGATCTATAAACATATGAAAATCTTCGAAATGGACGGTCTAGATAATGTGTTGCAAGATTCACCATTTTTAATACTCAAAAAAAAAAAATTTATATATATTCATACTTCTCGATGTCGAGATGATCAAATAGAGGGTTTTTCAACATTAGAAAAACCTTTCTGATAATTTTTGAGGTGCATATGTAATTCTACATTTAAGGTTGCAACCTTATATAAACTTTCCTTTTAAAATTAGTTAGAATAAGATAAAATATATAGAATGCAAGTTTAGTGCTAACACGAGTAGAAACGAGGTAGCAATTAATTTTTAATATCTAGAGTCGGTAATCTATTAGATTGGGGAGATTAAGGGAGATGTCACATATATAGAATTAGAGTTAGGTGAGCGAAGTGAAAATCTTCCAGAGTTTTATGTGACTGCCACGTAACACTGAAATTTGAAGGGAAAGTTTTATAAAACAATTGTAAGACTAACCATGCTTTATAAGATGAAATGTTGGGTGGTCAAGAAACAATGTATCCATAACATGAGTGTTGCTGATATGAGAATGTTGAGATGGATGAATGTCAATACAAAAAATGCTAGAGTTCCGAATGAATACATCTGAGGGAACTTAGGATTAGATCCAATAAGTGATAAAATGAGGGAAAGTAGACTTTTGTGGCTAGTCATGTGTAGCATCGACTTAGAACAATACAGGTTAGAGGGAAATTTAGTTCAACGGGAAAGTTCTTAAAGGGCAAAAAGAAGGCCCAAAAAGATTATAATGGAAATACACTGAAAAGATATCGTGACTTATGATCTAATTAGGGTATGAACGTTGATAGAGTGGAATGACGGAACGGTATTAATGTAGTTGGTCCCAAATAATTGAAATAAGCCTTGGATGATGATAACGATCATTACGATGATGACAAAATCTTATCTAGGCCATTAAAAGACAATAAGGAAATCACACAAATAGGGGGGAGGGAAAAAAAGAGAAAAAAAATAAGAGAGAAATCACGAGACCTGAAATTTTGCACACGAATGGATCTCATCCAGACCATTAAAAGAAAATGAAGAATTCACATAGACACGAAGAAAAAGATAGAGAAAAAAAAACAAGAACTCCATGTTTAGTGAATCCCTTGGACCAAGTGCTTGGCCACGTAACAAGTATGCATTGACCTATATTTTTTATAGGGAAAATTACGAACTTTGATCCAACTTTCTTTACAACCTCTGTCGTGCTTTTTTTTCGCAACTTTTATCTAAAAACAAATTCTTATAGCAATACCCTTAAATCAAAAAGTCATAATTTGGAGGATGACAATACCTTTACCTGTATATGAAGGCGCCACATTTCCGTAGACGCTCAATCACCAAAGACGATCCGGCACATATTACTGCCTGATCGAAACCCATACTACATTAACTGCTGGACCACAACAACCATCTGCCAGATAAAATGCCAGACCGCAGCAACAATCTTTAGGACCACATTTACAAGTGCCTGACCAACGTCATTCAATGACCAAGGAGAGGGCATTTTAGCCCAAAGAACTATGAATATTTGACTTTGATGGTATTTGATATAAAAGTTTATTTTCAAGTAAAGTTGCCATAGAAAAGTTAGTTGGGGGTTTTTTTTTTTGAGTAAAGTTGCCATAGAAAAGTTAGTTGGGGTTTTTTTTTTTGAGTAAAGTTGCCATAGAAAAGTTAGTTGGGGGTTAGTTGATAGAAAATCTCCATAGAAAAGTTTAATATAAAAGTTGCCATAGAAAAGTTTAATATAAAAGTTGCCATAGAAAAGTTTAATATAAATTTGCCATAGAAAAGTTGCCATAGTAAAGTTGCCACATAAAAGTTGATTTTTGAGTCATGGGTTTTTTTTTAATTTTCTCTTCTTTGTTTATCAACTAACAATCCAGGTGGACCTAATTAGAGTTCAGTTATTTTCTTTTTCATTTAGGGAAAGAACACCATAATCCAATAGACAATGGAAAATCATAGTCCATTGGGTCATTACCGTCCATAAAAACAAAGGATGGTGATAGAGGGAGAGTGGGACTCACCATCAGGCTTAGGCCCCATAAAAATGGGGCCCAGTCTCCCCATCACCTTCAAAGATGTACGGCCATGACCCAACGGACAATGGTATCTCCACAATCCGTCTATACTTTGCTTTATAGGTATGGTGAAATTTTTATAAATTTGAAAGGTAGTCCAAGCATATAGCCCTGAAAAATACCTAAGAGATGCTAAGGAAGCATCATTGCATACTTTCCCTTCCATTTAATACCATTTTATATAAAGAAAACAAATTAAAAATCAAAT